AACCATGGAATGGTTTGGGTTGGAAGGGATCTTAAATCCCATCCCATCCCAAACCCTGCAGGGACACCTCCCACTATCCCCGGGCACTTGGACACTCCCAGGGATCCAGGGGCTTCCTGGGAAAGCTGTGCCAGGGACAGGGAAACAATCTCACATTCCTTCTGCCCAGAATTCCTAAGGAACGTGAGCACTGGAATGAGCCCAGAACCCACAATGGCTCATTGTCCCTGTCCATCTCCTGACACCTCAGAGGTCAGGAGAACACAGAAACCATGGAATGGTTTGGGTTGGAAGGCATCTTAAACCCCACCCCACTCCAAACCCCGCAGGTACAAGCGAGGTTGAAGACAACACCCCGAGACCCCCCGAACCCCAATTTTCACCCTCCCCGGGGGCAGGACTGACCTCTGCCACGGCCGTGGCCTGCTCCACCTGCACCTCGGTGGATCCGTTGATCTCGGGGTTGGTGGTGTCCAGGATCTCCACGGCCAGCCCCAGCAGCAGCCGGGCGCGGAAGGAGACGCCTTCCCCCAGCCCCTCGTTGAGCTCCTGGTGCTCGTCCATCAGGGTGTAGTTGCGGGTGGAGCCGTACATGTTCACCCAGGCGGGGCCGAAGGTGGGCAGGAAGCCTGCGGGAACGGGCACGGAACGGGCACGGAACGGGCACGGTGATGCCTTAAGACCCTTTTAGGTTTTTTTTTTGATTTTCCCGATTTTATAAGCTTTATATGTAATTATAGTAGATTTTAGAAGCAGCTATATGATATTCCTCGCCCTTTAGCGCGAGTAGTTTACGCATTCCTCAACCCTCTTACCCCTTTCTGTGTTCCCCAAATCAATCCTACCCCTGAATTCCAGTAGAAAATGCTCAGTTTTTTGTCAAGGCAGGGCCTCTTCTGTTTGAGGACACCTAACCCTGAACCACAGCCAAGAACCGGGTGACCGTGTGCCCTCTGTGCTCTGAAGATGATGAAGATGATGAAGAAAAGCCCCCCAGATCCAATTCCCAGGGGGTGGACCAGGGCAAAAGCTACGGGATGGACAAAACTTGGATTATAAATTGTAAAGTATTATAAATTGTAGCACCTGAACACGGCCTGGGCGCGTGTCTTGTGATCTTTATGCCCGGGTACAAATTAAAACCCTTTTCCAGGTGGGAAAAGCCCTCCCAGCCCATGGATCCCACCCTGTGCCCCATCCCCACCTTGTCACTGAGTGCCACGGCCAGGCCTTCCTGGGACACCTCCAGGGCTGGGCACTCCAAACCTCCCTGGGCAGCCCCTGCCAGTGCCTGACCACCCTTTCCAGCAGGAAATTCCTCCTCCTGTCCAACCTGAGCCTCCCCTGGCACAGCTGGAGGCCGTTCCCTCTCCTCCTGTCCCTTGTTCCCTGGGAACTGGGGACCCTCCACCTCCTGGAACTTCCTTCCAGGGAATTGTGGAGAGCTGGGACAGTGCCAGGATGGCACAGAATCCTTAGAGATGATCTCAAATCCCTTGGAGATCATGGAATCCAAGCATTCCCAGCACTGCCAAAGCCACCCTTGATCCGTGTCTCCAATTCCACATCCACAGGGATCTGAGATCCCTCCGGGAATGGCGACTCCAGCCCTGCCCTGGGAAGTTCATTCCAGGCCCTGACAGCCCTTTCCATGTGGGAATTGTTCCCAATATCCCAGCAGAGCCTCCCCTGGCCCAGCTGGAGGCCGTTCCCTCTCCTCCTGGCCCTTGTTCCCTGGGAATTGGGGACCCCCCCCGGCTTCCCCCTCCTGTCAGGGAGTTGTGGGGCAGGAAAAGGTTTTCCCCCCTGAGCCTCCTGTTTTCCCAGGGAAGTTTTTCAGGGAAATCAGGGACGGGACAGGACAGGGCACAGCCCAAGGACACTCGAGTCTCCCATGGAGTAATTCCCCACTTTGGGTTCCAAGGAACAAAAACCTCCCATCGGTCCCTTTCCCAACCCAGCTCTGCCCCTGGTTTTTGGGGTTGGGGTGCACAGGGGGGGTCCATTGGTGGCAACTCATTTTTTTTTGGAAGGACCAACTGCTCCCGGGTGTCTTTGCTTCCCGGGATTGCACGGAGGGCTTGGGACAGGGCCTGGTTTTCCTGAGGTCCAGCGAGCCCAGGAGACCCTTTCAGCACCCCAGAGCTTCTCAGGGGTGGGGAAGGAGCCTGAGGGTATTTTGGGAACTCTGCCAAAGGGAAGGAGGTATCCCAGTATCCCTCCCCTCCAAAGTTTACCTTTGTCCCCCTCGTTGGAGATCTTCCTCAGGTCGATGAAGTGGGTCCCGATGGCCACATCGTTGACCTTGTCCGAGTCCCGGATCTGGACCTTGATCCTCTTGCACAGGGGGGGGAACATCTCGGTGAACACGATCTGCTCGTTCCACAGGGGCTCGTAGCTGCTCTTCTGGATGGAGGTCTTGCCCTGGGAGTGGGAGGACACGGGGCCCGGAGCAGGGTTGGGGTGTGCCAGGACAACCCAGGACAACCAGGGGACACCACACACATTCCAACATCTCCAGGACAACCATGGGACACCACACACATCCCAACATC